CACTGCAGCTCTAGAGAGGTTGATGCACTGCAGTTCTAGAAGCTGATGCACTGGAAAATGATGCATTGCAGCTCTAGAAAGGATGATGCACTGCAGCTCTAGAGAGGATGATACACTGCAGCTCTAGAGAGACTGATGCACTGAAGCTCTAGAGAGACTGATACACTGCAGCTCTAGGGGTTGACACACTGTAGCTGTAGAGAGACTGATGCACTGTAGCTCTAGAAATGCTGATACACTGCAGCTCTAGAGAGGCTGATGCACTGCAGTTCTGGAAGCTGATGTACTGGAAAATGATGCACTGCAGCTCTAGAGAGGTTGATTCACTGCAGCTCTAGAGAGGATGATGCACTGCAGCTCTAGAGAGGCTGATGCACTGAAGCTCTAGAGAGGTTGATGTACTACAGCTCTAGAGAGGCTGATGCACTGAAGCTCTAGAGAGGTTGATGCACTGCAGCTCTAGAGAGGATGATGCACTGCAGCTCTAGAGAGGCTGGTGCACTGTAGCTCTAGAGAGGCTGGAGCACTGCATCTCTAGAGGCTGGTGCACTGCAGTTCTAGAGGCTGGTGCACTGCAGTTCTAAAGATACTCATAAACTGAAGCTCTAGGGGCTGATGCACTGTAGCTGTAGAGTGACTGATGCACTGCAGCTCTAGAAATGCTGATGTACTGCAACTCTAGATAGGTTAATATACTGCATTTCTAGAAGCTGATGCACTGGAAAATGATATACTGCAGCTCCAGAGAGGATGATGCACTGCAGCTCTAGAGAGGATGATGTACTGTAGCTCTACAGTGGCTGGTGCACTGTAGGACTAGTGGTTGAGGCACTGCAGCTCTAAAGAGACTGATGCACTGCAGCTCTGGAAATGCTGATGCACTCTAGTTCTAGAGAGGCTGATGCACTGCAGCTCTAGAGGTTGATGCACTGGAAAATGATGCACTGCAGCTCTAGAGAGGATGTTGCACTGTAGCTCTAGAGTAGCTGGTGCACTGTAGCTCTAGAGTGGCTGGTGCACTGCAGGACTAGATGTTGATGCACTGAAGCTCTAGAGAGGATGATGCACTGCAGCTCTATAGAATGGTGTACTGCAGCTCTAGAGAGGTTGATGCACTGCAGCTCCAGAAATGCTGATGCACTGCAGCTCTCGAAAGGATGATGCACTGCAGCTCTAGAGAGGATGATGCACTGTAGCTCTAGGGTTGCTGGTGCACTGCAGGACTAGAGGTTGATGCACTGCAGCTCTAGAGAGACTGATGCCCTGCATCTCTAGAGGTTGACGCACTGGAGCTGTAGAGAGACTGATGCACTGTAGCTCTAAAAATGCTGATACACTACAGCTCTAGAGAGGCTGATGCACTGCACCTCTAGAAATGTTGATGCACTGCAACTCTAGAGAAGCTGATGCACTGCAGTTCTAGAAGCTGATGCATTGGAAAATGATGAACTGCAGCTCTAGAGAGGATGATGTACTGCAGCTCTAGAGAGGATGATGCACTGTAGCTCTAGAGTGACTGGTGCACTGCAGGACTAGAGATTGATGCACTGCAGCCCTAGAGAGACTGATGCACTACAGCTCTAGAAATGCTGATGCACTGTAGCTCTAGAGAGGTTGATGCACTGCAGCTCTAGAGAGGCTGGTGCACTGTAGCTCTAGAGAGGCTGGAGCACTGCATCTCTAGAGGCTGGTGCACTGCAGCTCCAGAGAGACTCATAAACTGCAGCTCTAAGGGCTGATAAACTGTAGCTGTAGAGAGACTGATACACTGCAGCTCTAGAGAGACTAATGCACTGAAGCTCTAGAGAGACTGATGCACTGCAGCTCTAGAGAGACTGATACACTGCAGCTCTAGAGATTGATGCACTGTAGCTGTAGAGAGACTGATGCACTGTAGCTCTAAAAATGCTGATACCCTGCAGCTCTAGCGAGGTTGATGCACTGTAGCTCTAGAGTGGCTGGTGCACTGCAGGACTAGAGGTTGATGCACTGAAGCTCTAGAGAGGATGATACACTGCAGCTCTATAGAATGGTGTACTGCAGCTCTAGAGAGGCTGATGCACTGCAGCTCTAGAAATGCTGATGCACTGCAGCTCTAGAGAGGTTGATGCACTGAAACTCTAGAGTGGCTGGTACACTGCAGGACTAGAGGTTGATGCACTGCAGCTCTACAGACTGGTGCACTGCAGCTACAGAGAGAAGGTGGACACAAGACACAAGAGAAATCACCCATGGTCTCCTGTTTGGACACTCTTCAGTGTGACTTTCCAAAATCTTCGTTTCTGATTTCCCCTTTCCTCTTACAGACATAATAGTTAGGCTTTAGGAATCAAACACAGGGAACTCTGACTTAATGTGAGCCCACATGAGTCGGCCAATGGGGCTTTATTCAAGTTCATGGGGGCATCAGGATGGTAGTAGGGCTTCTGGTCCTTTGGTTGGTCTTCATTAGACTATACAAATGTGCAGTTTTATTTGAAAACTTCCCAATAAAATGGACCCTCATTCACTAGGAGTCTGAGAGGATGGTGACATGTCACAGGTAACTGTGACTGTGTTTCCATAGCTAGACCATATTTAGGAAGAGCTGATTTATGACTACTTTCCCCACACTGTTGTGGACCATCTTACTCTTTACCTTTTGAAGAATGATGGGCTTTAGATGTCCTGGTGACACAGCAGGGCCTAGTGTGCCCTCTGTGCTTGACAGGATTCTGGAAATATAGCTGAAGCAGAGATATTATTCTTCATCCTCATCATGGAGAACTTTGTATAACATGAAAGAATATACTGTTCAGATTTACTATGAACATATACTGTTCATGAAAGAACATATTCTGTTCAGATTAACCATGGGTGGAAGTTAACCTTTCAGTTGAACTCCTGGAGATGGCAAAGGTTTCAGTGTCCTGTATGTCATTTAGGTTAAATTTGTCAACTTTCTCAAACACTGGAGGCTGTGATGTCAAACCATTGTCCATGCCATCTCTGCCTACCACCTGTTTGCTTTCCTGAAATTTCAAGTCCCAACAATCCCATTGGCACTCTTGAAGGACATTTTCATTCTAAAAATCTCCCACACTTGTTTGTGTTGATTAACTACTTCATACTGAAAATTAATTTTACAAACAGAAAACTGTTCCCCTCCATAGACCTTTAAAATGTGCTAAAATTTTGTGATCTACAATCTCCGCCCAAACAAGAGGAATGTATCACTAGTGAGGAGGGTATTCTACAGCTGATGGTCAAATGTCAGAATGAAGACTCTCCTTTACCCAGTTACCATATATTGAATTAACATCTAGGACCTGGAACAAGTTGTAACCTAAGCTTTCCATGCAATAAAAAAGAAACCACTGAAGTGTCTATACTGCTGGAAAAAGACAAAATCATGGCCTATCGCAGAAGTTGATACACAGCTGGTATTTGCTTTTGTGAGCTGAATAGAAAGTCAGTGTTATGTTGCTTAAAGAGGTTTTTATCTCTTGGCTCTGGGAAGGAAGCCAATGCTAAATCCAATCCTGTCCTCCTCTGATTTTAGACATGGTTTGTCCATCGGAGAGCTGAAGAGAGGAAGAGTGAGAGGTCTGTCATATTACAGAGCATACCTCCTCGTATTGAAAAGGTCCTGCTCCTTAGGGAAAGGGACGACTATCTCTAGAGTGCAATCTTTGTTCATAAGCTAAAGGGAAATTTGGTGACACATGTACTCAATGTACAGCTTAACTAAAATTCAGCACTCATGTTAATAATAAAAACAAGAATTTCCATGTTAATTTTATATGCTTTCTGGGGTTTTGTAGTATATAGATGTATACTCTTCAGGAAATGCCTTTTAAACAAAATGACAACTTCTGTTTTTTGGGGGTGACATTTCTAAGTCATGAGTATTGCTTGCATAGATGACTATTCCCTATACACGGTAATTGTGAAACAGTGGATCACTTAAGCCTTCTTGATTCAGGCTCATTTGATCCTTTGAACAAGGGATTCAGTAGTAACCCTGCAAATGGAGAATTTAAGGAGAAGGTGGGCACAGAAAGTATTGATGGTGATTTCTTTTTATTTGGGGGGTCATACCAATTCTTTCTTTTTTCTTTTAATGAAAATAGATTTTTCTGTCACATAATATATCCCGATTATGGTTACCCTTCCCCCTACTCCTCCCAGTTCCTCCCCACTTACCCTCCCATTTGGATATATCCCCTTTTCTGTCTGTCACTAGAAAACAGCTCAGGTGGGTGGAAGCCACCTATAGGCCAGCCTGGGTCCTCAAGGCCTGGGCTGGCTAAAGACATTGACGGGGGAGGGTGCCATTATGATGAACAAATGTATGGTGGAGAAATGGGAGAAAATGAGAGGCAGAATGGTTCATGTGCTGTGGAAACAGGTGAAACAGAAGAATCAAAGGTGGTGAGGAGCTGGCTGAGGTGGGTGGCCTGCTTGTCACCCAGGGAAGTGATGACACCTGGGCCTGGACAACTACATAGGGCCATGTTTATGTCCGTGGTCCCACTGTAGCCAGGGTCTGAGTTGATGTCCATGGCATCTGTTGCCCCCAAGGGCCATGAAGATGCCCAGGGTCCGGTTAGTCAATTCAGACAATTTTGTTGTCTGAGAGCCGTGCTGCTGGTGGTGCCACACTGATCTCAGTGATCTGAGCTGCCACAGGGGACATGGTAACATCTGGGCCCGAGATGCTCTGGAGGGCCACCTCTGGATCTGTAGTCCTGCTGTAACTGGAATGTGTGTTGAAATCTGTCGCCCATGTTACCATAGAGGCCATGCATGATGAAATCCAAGGGCAGTGTTGAGTCAGCCCTGCCCTGTGTTAGCCCTCGCAAAGCTGGCCCTGCCCCTTACTAGACACTGCAACAAAAGGGCTAACCCTGACCCTCACAGGAGAGCTGGCCCCAATGACTCGGGCATGGAGAGCTGGTCCCCTTGTACTCAGTAGAGATGGCCCCACCTCTCAACACAGGCATGAGAGAGATGGCCCTGATGCCCTGGGCATCGGAGAGCTGGTTCCACCCCTCACCTGAGTATCAACTCAAGTATCCAGGACTGACCAGCTCACCTACCACTCAGGCCCATATCCAGGGCCTTGGATTGGCCCACCCTAACATCTACCCCATCTAGGACCTGCTGGAGCATGTGAAGGGATTAGTTCTGCAGATCTCCATGACTAGGGGCAGCCGTGGGGTATCAGAGAGGAGTTTCAGTGAGGATTAAGTGATGACGGTGTACCAGAAACCAGGGGCCTTGAACCAGACCAATGACTCATTGTAATTTTCATTTTCGGGTGGGGCTGATTCAACAAAAGGGTACACTGCAGGACACACCAAGGATCCCAGTGCCACTCAAATGAATGAAGAGATGTTGAAGAGGCAGGAGAGACAGAGGACAGAGGAGTGAAGTGGGCTTTTTTGTTTGTTTGTTTGGTTGGTTGGTTGGTTGGTTTAGTTTGGCTTTTTGTTTAATTTTATTTTGGGGACGGGACTCTGCAAGGGTGAAGGGAGGATATGGAGGGACTGGGAAATGAGCAGAATTAGGTTACATGATGTGAAATTCCCAAAAAATCAATAAATTGTGTGTGTGTGTGTGTGTGTGTGTGTGTGTGTGTGTGTGTGTGTGTGTGTATGAAAACATATAGGCTTCTAAACGATAATAATAAAATAAACTATAGCCGAGGTGTTGTGGTACACACCTTTAATCCCAGCACTTGGGAGGCAGACCCAGGCAGATCTTTGTGAGTTTGAGGCCAGCCTGGTCTACAGTATGAATATCAGAACAGCCAAAGCTACAGAGAAATCCTGTCTTGAAAACCCCACAATAAATAAATAAATAAATTATAATGTAATAAGTGAAACAAAAACTAACATGTTAGAATTGAACAAAATGTCGTGGGTCTAGGGTCACTCAGAGATTCACTGTGACCATGAATAAATTTTAATAAGAAGAGGTTTTATTAAATAAATACTCGTGCCAGCTGCTCATGACACCAAGACTGCAACTGAGATCGCTCCCAAGTTGCAGCCCCTGGTCATATTAATCCAAGGTTTATAAAGCCAAAACCACAAGATTACATGTATTCTGTCTACACGTAAGCATGTTCTAATTTTAACATATGTCTTGTAGTTGTCCCGGTCATTGAGCAGAGTAAGGTAGTTTGATTACAAAAACAGAAATAGGAGTTAGTCCTATGAGCTATTGTCTTGCTAGAACAGCAGATTTTACAGGATCAGTCAATTTAAGAACAGTCTTCAATGCCTTGGACAAACCGGGGGAGGATGAGCTGCTAGGGCACAGCTTGTACAAGCTGGGGGCTTGCATGTTTGAGGGGTTTTTTTGCTTTTTGGTCTCTCAAGCATAGTAAGTCTAAACTTTAAATGTAATGATAATCATTACCTTTCCCCCATTGAGTTGTATAATGAGTCAAATATCTGACTCTGTGATGGATACCTGTTATTTCTAAAG